GCCGGTCCGGGAGCCGCGACTCCGGCCACATCCTCCTCGTGCCCGGCGGCGGCCGGGGAGCGCCTGGTGCCCGCGCGCGTCTTCTTCGCACGGTAATAAAATAACGAACACGAACGGCAAGAGACGGTATCCGAACGATGCAAACGATGCAGCCTTGGTAAAAAGGCTGCAAGTTCACCTTCCAGGACAGCCCCTGCACCAAAACCCCCTCGCCGCGCGATTAGCGTCCCACCCCCACCCCCCACCCCCTCCTTTGATTGTTGTCTAGCTCGGGCCTCTCAGTCTCCGAGGACCGCGATGCGGGGCCCACACCCGGTCTCGGGTGAGCTGCCCAAGAGAAAACCGGACTCGCCACCCTCTTTTTGGTAGGCTGTAGACGGGCGCTCCCGGCGGCACCTTTTCCTCGGGGATTCGGTGACAAGAGGGAATCTGCGTCCATTTTTCGCGTGTCGAAGCAAACTATATAGCCGTTTACTTTCGGGAAGCATCTGTTCATTTTCATGTCCGGTCGGTGTAATCTTGGGGTGTGATTTGTGGTCGTCAAAAACAGTAGGGCGAACATCTTCTCAAAGACGTTTATCAAGTGGTTTTGGAATTAGCATTTTAAAGCCAGCAGTAATTTAAACTGCAGTAAGCGCTCGTTTACGAAAACACGGCTCATGGAATTATGGTGTGGCAAGCCCTCCCCTTTTGTCAACTTCCAAAGGGCGCCTTGCTCGGAAAAGGGGGCCCAACAGTCAAATAGGGCGGCGACTCCTCCCGCCTCACCATCACGTTGGAAGGTGGCTGAAAGCAACATCACGCGCGTATTCTTGACTAAGAACAGGTACGTGTTCTAAGAAAGCGTCTGGTCTGAAGCTCGCATTAGAAACAGGGAGGGGGTAAAATGTTGCTGCTTTTCCTGTAAGTCCATTGCAGATGAACAATTCAGAATATTTAATCATTCCGAAGTTAATAATTCAGAATAAATGAGTTTAGGCATTTTGTGTACAAGCATTGTCTTCAGGTGTGTCACCCCTTAAAAGAGCTATTTACAAGAGATACTTAATTAGTCAATTTTGGCACTTAAGATGCCAAATTAGTCCGTTTTGGCACTTAAAGACATCAAATGTAATTATTTAGTCTTCTCTTTGATGTGGTGAAGAACGTCAACCTGTTCACTCCTGATTAGTAAATAAACACAAGTAAACTCGCGTTTACCTTGCTTACTTGGTAATCCGCGCTGGAAAGGAAGTAAACAGCTCATTTCCTTTCTTTGGGGATGTTAGTATGTACGCTGACAACTTTAACTTAGGGATCTGGAAAGGGCGTTTTAAAGTGCTGCTACTCACAGTAAGGAGTCCTGGAGGCGTAGCGGTGACAGGGCTCCTCCGCTAGCCCGCCCGGGGAAGAAGATGTGGTGTTCTCCAGACACGTGGTAGCCTTGCAGCCCCTCCACGCCAGTTTTGCTCTGACCTCTGGGGTTACTGGGAGTCAAAAACAGATGGTCAATGCCCACATTTGATAGCTGTTTTTACATTTTAAACGTCAAACGAAAAAGCGTCCAAAAGAAAAGCTGGACATCTGGATGGCAATAAATTAGGGAAAACGTTCAAGCATCGTTCCTTGCGTCATCGTGCCCTTAAGAATATAATTCCTTCGCTGATCTTTAAGCAAATTGGTCACCCATCACACTTTGAACATTTGGGTAGGTAGCTGCTTGAAGTTTGGGTTTTGGGGGCTTTTTTTTGGCTTTTGCTTTGAAGGCTACGTTATTACCACTTCCAAATTATTCTGAATGGGAAGCCATGACTGCGGGCTGTTGTCTCTTGCTTTGATGAAAAGCTATACCTCGTAGGGTTATTTTGTTTCTTACTTAGAATGATCTTTTGCGGATTTTAGTTTCGTTTAAAGGAGCTCTGGGTACGTGCTTGGCAGGAACCGAAAGGGCGGTTGGACCCCCGCTCCAGACCCTCCCAGGGAGAAAATGAGGCAGTGTGCTTCCTTGGAAACCCAATGGGGCAATTTCATCTACTGAGTCCTCCGGGATCTGCGAAATCTACTCCCGAGCGCAGTGTGGGTAGTCTTGTTTTACAAGGACAGAGCCACCTAGCGAATCTTTGCCTCTATTACAACATTCGCACACATCTCCCGAAATCTGGGGAAGCGGACACCCCCCTCTAGGGGTCTGCAACCCACACTCCTGTCTAGTGTGTGCAGAGGCGATTTTATTTAACCGCAGCTCAGCAGCCGGAAACCACCAGCCACTCCACGATTTACAGGCTTGGAAACCCGCAGGGGCAGTTCTACTCTACCCTAGACCGTCTCCATGAGTTCGACTCAACCCAATGGCAGTGGTTTGGGTTTGGTTGTAAATACACAGCAAACTGCTCAATTAGTGAGCAGTTTCTACGAGTACCAATTGAGCCATAGGGATTGCACCCTGCCATCGAGGAAACCATTTCCACCTCCTTTTCTGAGTTGCTTCTTATCTTTTAGCAAAAATTCAGCTCCCCATCCAAGGCTGCAGTCCTAGACCTTCATCAGCAAGTGCTTGGAGTCCTGCTCACTTCAGCAGGCACATCACACATTGTTGATAAACGTTCCTGCAAGCCCGACACCCCGTTCTTCTTCATGTACTTCAGCGTCTCCATGGTTTCTCAGCATGCAGATTGAGTAAATATGGTGAGAGCATCCAACTCTGACACCGCTTTCCTATGGCAAACCACGCAGTAGTCCCTTGCTCTGTTTAGACATCTGCCTCTTGATCCATGTACAAGTTCTGCATGAGTACAATGAAGGGTTCTGGAATCCCCATTCTTCTCCATGTTATCTGTAGTTGGTTATGATCCACACAGTCAAATACCTTTGCATTCTCAATAAAACACAAGGAAACGTCTTTCTAGTATTCTCTGCTTTCAGCCAAGATCCACCTGACGTCAGCAATGTTGTCACATTGCTCCACATCCTTGTTCTGCATCCTCTTGTGACTCCCGTCTCCCGTCTGAACCCCTGGCAGCTCCCTGTCCCTGCGCTGCTGCAACTGTGGTTGGATGATCTTAAGCAATAGTTTACTTGCATGTGATACTAGTGATATTGTTCTATAATTTGAGCATTCTGTTGTTTCCTTTCTTTGAAATGGGTACAAATAGGGATCTCTTCCAATCAGTTGGCCAAGGAGCTGTCTTCCAAACTTCCTGGCATAGACCAGTGAGTGCTTCCAGTGCTTCAGGAGCTTGTTGAAACATTTCCATGGGTATTCCATCCCTTCCTGGAAGCTTGTTTTTGGCTAATGCATTCCGTGCAGCTTGAACTTCTTCCCTCAGCCCCCTTGGTTCTTGCTCATATACTACCTCCTGAAATGGTGGAAGGTCAACTACTTTTTGGTGCAGTGACTCTGTAGTCTTTCTGTCTTCTTTGGACGCTTCCTACATTTTTCAGTATTTTGCCTATAGAATCTTTCAAGATCGCAACTCAAAGCTTACATTTTTTTCTTGAGTTCTTTTAGCTGAAGCTATGCTGTGTTCTTCCTATTTGGTTTTCTAGCTGTCTTTGCACCTTTCATTTTAATATTTGACTTTGTCTTCTCGTGCTACTCTACAATTTTCCGTTCAGTTCTTTGGCTTCAGCATTTCTTCCATTTGCCTTAGCTGCTTTATGATTAAGAGCAAGATTCAGACTTCGCTAACATCCACTTTTCTTTTTTTTTCTTTCTTTCTTGTCTTTTTCATGGCCCTTTGCTTTCTGCATGAGTGAAGTTCTTGATGCCCTCCAACAGCTCCTCAGTCTTCTGCTGCCAGTGTTCAGTACATCAAATCTACTCTTGAAATGTTCTCCAAATTCAGGGGGGATAGACTTCAGGTCGTATTTGAGCTCCTGTGGACTTGTTTTCATTTCTTTAGCTTCAGCCTGAACTTACAAATGAGTAATGGATGGTTGGTGCCACAGTCAGCCCCTGGCCTGGTTTTAGCTGCTGATGTTGAACTTCTCCCTCCTCTCTTCCCATAGATGTAGCCCATTTGATGTCTGGGTATTCCATCTGGGGAAATTCACATGTGTAGTAGTCACTTGTGTTGTTGAAAAAAGGTATTTGCTATGAAGAAGCCCTTGGTCTGGCAAAATCCTACCACACGATCTTCAGCTTTGCTTCTCTCGCCAAGATCATCTTTTCCCCAAACTGTTCTTTCTTTCCTCTTTGTTTTCAACTTTTATATTCCAATTGCCAATAATTATCAGTGCATCTCGATTGCATGTTTGCTCAATTTTAGACTAAAGATATTGGTTGATTGGTCAAGTTC